GCGGAGGGGTGTCGGGGGGAAACCGAGCTGCGCGCCCGCCGCCGCTCCGCGCCGCGCCAGAGTCAGACATAGGCTGATGTTAGGGCCAGCGGACCATTTGCTACTTGCGGACGGCTGGGCTTCCTCTGTCGAGTTTCTAATGCTGTAAGCCCGCGGTGGGGCTTGATTCTGAGCAACTTGCAGGTGATACTGCTGCTTGCCCACCCCCTCCCCCCCGCCTTTGAGCTCCACAAGCATGTTGGATAGCAGACGCACCTGTCTCGAGAAAGAGCAGGCGCGTGACCCTGTTGCCCAAGAGCTGTGTGCTTTTGATTACATTGATTAACTCCCTCCAAACCTCACACCAGGCCTGAGTTCCTAGATTGAACCCCCCTGCTCTTCCGCCCTGGCTTGTGAGCATCGGATCGGTTGCAGGAGTCACCGGATAAGGAGTCCACAGAAAGCACATTTATTCGTACCTGCCTTGAAACGTAAGCGGACCCGACTTGTGGAGTTTTGTCATTCTTTGGTTGGAGAGTAATATGCAGCTGAACCAAACCTCCTTTGTGCTGGTCACCATGATGTGGCGATTGCCCACAAGAAGCGCCTGGTACCAGCTGTGTTAGGGTTTCTATGAGCAGGTTCTGATGTGGGCATGAAGCCTTAATTTAAGCCAATTTCATTAGAAAGGCACTGACGGATGACTTTGTTCCAAGTTCAAGTTTTGAGTAGTTTGGGGCTGGCTAAATTAAAATCTTGGTGTGAGCTACTCACTCCATAACCTTCAAGATGGAGTGGGTTTAACTTGACCATTGGGTGAGGGGGTGCCTCGGGCGTGGAGAGGCTAACAGGAGTCAGCTGTTGGAAGAATTTGGAGGGACGTCCTCAGTGAGTATTTTGCAACCCTGTTGCCAGTGTGCCCCTATTGTAAGCAGAGACCTGGTGTCAGAGGTCATCTTCAGGGGTCATCCGAAGAATAGGATGCCATAGCTCTCAAGGGCATCTTTCCAGGCTCATCACCCTCCCACCCACTGTGCTACCTTACAGCTGGCTCTTTGGTAATCCACATCAGCAACCCAGTAGCTTGAGATGAACCTCCAGCCTCCAGCAATCAAAATTTCTAGAAATTCTCTTTTCCTTAAAACTGAGTGGTAATGATAAAAATATTATGACAACCATTTACCTTCTAAATATGGACAGAGTCTAAATTTGGGGTGGCTGAACACGGTCATCCCTTGAAGTCATCTCAGTTATGTGTTACTCACTGAGCTTTGGGGTAAATGGTGTTTTCCTTGAAACCAGATTTCTCAATAATGTTAAGAGTATTTCTGTTTATGAGACCTAAATTTAGGATTCTACTGTATTTCTACTTGGTGATTGATTCGTTTTTTAGTCACTGAACTAGAAAGGCGCCTGGAGGCAAAAAAAAAAAAAACAAGAGCAAGTCATACAGAATTCTTATTTGCCCATCCATCACCCACTGACTGAGCCCTCTTTAGGGAAAGGGGAATTGGCACCATGTCACTGTGAGGCTGAATTCAGGGCCTGGGAAAGTGGTTCCACTGATGTGTGCTGACCAGAACCAGAGTGTTCTATAAACATATCCATAATTTACAGCCACTATCACCCCTCCACCACTCCTTCCAGAATCCAGACTTTGGAGGTGAGACTGCCTCTCTCTGAATGACCCACCTCTCAGAATACTGCCCTTTTACAAGTTCCTTTCCTCTTCCAAGCTGGAGGGGAGGATGCTGATCACTAGGGAGGGTAGGACTGGACTAATCAGCTTGGGACTCTTGTGTGATCATTGAGAATTCAGGTTCTAAACTGGCAACTGGTTCAAATCCCAGCAATGCCACTTAATAACCTTATAGATTCTTTGGACAATTTTATTTTTGTAAAATAGGGCTCAGAATAGACCCTACCTCGTTAGGTTGTGGTGAGATCAATATGGGGTACTTACTGTTCAGGAAGCACTGTGCCTGGGGAATACCAATGGCTCAGTAAACATTAAATCATCTTCATCATCATGTCCCCTTCTTTCATCACATTTTCACAGTTTACCTCTCAGGGCTGCACATTGGGCTATGAAATGTCTTTTCTTGGTAGAGAATGGAGATCAAACCTTTTTATGTCTTTATAATCTTTTACTGAAGCCTCCAAACTAGCCTCACCAGTCACTCAAATCTGTCCTTAATGTTTTTTTTTTTCACCTTGGCTCACTTTCAGAGCTAGAGAGATGGGGAAGGGGGAGCTCTGGTTGACCCCACTCTGCCCATCTCCCCAGGGACACCTTCCTCCATGTGACGTATGCTCACACCCAGCATGAGCCCCTCTCTTATTGTTTATCCCTTTAATAAGTGAAACCTATCATGTTCAACTCTGATCACACATGTAAGGGTATGGAATACAGAGTGAATAATGGAACCTGATAGAGAAGAACCTTTCTGGAGATCATGGTTGTCATCACAACTTGATTTCAATTCAGACCCCAAAGGACTTCAACTGGTTACCCCTGTTGCCAGTGCACCTGCTGAGGGAGTGCCACCAGCTCTGAGAAGAGTCCAGGGTCAATGAGACACTTCCCTCTGGAGTCCTGGCTGGTTCAGACAGGGCAGATGCCCCCCAGATGGAGGCACACACAGCACACCCTGGACAGGGAGGGCACCATGGACAGCAGTGCCACCTCATCCAGTGGATATTCATAGGGCACTAGCACCCCTTTGTGTGGGAGGAATGAACCCCACATGGTCAAGCTTTTACCTTCAT